GCATCCACAGAGTAAGTCCAGCAAATTTCGAAACAAATAGCATCTACGAAGTAAGGAACTTAAGTTGTCAACCAAAGGCTTAACAATATGTGATTTATCTCATGCTGAATGATATCCACAACAGGTTGCATTAGATGACTGAAGTACACAATGGTTATAAGCATGTTAACTGGAAGATATAACATTAATGAATTTAATCGAAGTATGTGGTCATGATTTCTGCTAATCTTTGCAAACCAATAAAGACATTGGATATTTGTGAACTAAATTTAAGAGTCAAGACCTCGTGATTCAATGTTGTAGAAGAACAAAAATATGTTTCTTACCTTGATCCTTTTTGTGGAAAAACTACACAATCCACCATATGGTGCAACTCCGGCACATTCACAGCCTTTAAAACACGTACATCACCAGGGTGTAAACAAGGGTTCTTCGCAACAACTACCTTTCCTTCAATATGGTTTGAGGCACTTCCAGGATGTCTGTTACCAGATAATTGCACAAACACCTCTCCATATTCCAATGTTCCGGTTTCATCTAGACATCCCATCATTGCTCGTCCATCTGGAATAAAGATTCTTGTTTTCAGTCGCAAATCTAGCAACTTTGATGCCCGAAATGTTTGCAGCATCATTGAAAGGAATGGTTCAACATCAGGTTTATAACCACATGTGAGCAATTCCTTCAGGATGTTAGTAGTCTCTCCTGGAGACATCAAATCCAAAGCGTCCTGTGCTTTTAGTGGGTCAGTCAATATAGCATTCAGTTGTTGTACAGCTGCCCTTTGTTTTTTCATGAAAACAAGATCTGGAACCTCAAGGGTAGATAAAAGAGTTATCAACTGGCGGTTCAGAAAACAAGGCTGATACTTGCTACATGCTAATACATCCAACTTTGTGTTTTCTGATTCATACTTGGACATACTCTTCCTTAATGATAATTTCATTGATGAAGTTGGATCAATGGCCACCACACCTTTGTAACCACCATATCGAATCTGAAAGGCAGATGGAGTAAACCCCTTATAGCCACATTTTAAGGCCACTTTCTTCGCAAAATCAGCAGATATTTTCCCAATCCCATCAGAGAAGACATATTTATCATGGACAATGTCGGGAATAACTTCAATTTCATGTTTGGCCACAGTCAAAGTTTCAGTGGACGAACCAAAAGATTGACCCAATCTAGCAGCGTACTTTGCCACATTTTTTATATGACAAAAATCTCCCATCCACTCTCTTATATCATCAGCTGTAAGTCCCCACCTTGAAGCAAACATCCACATAGAATTCTCCCGCAATTGGCTCGACGAGAATGCAAGAAATTCATATTTCTTTTCACCAATTACTATGCCATTTCTGAGAATAGAAAGAATCCTCATGTAGAATTTGGTTTTCCTATCCTGATTTGTAGTGGACTTACGAGGAGACAAATCTGCCGAATAAATTTTTGCAAGCTCCTCTCCAACAAATGAAACACGAATGAAGTTATCAGTATCCATTGGGTAATTGCGTAGTACACGATTTGAGATATTGACTTCAGGACCACAATAATGTATTTGACATGATGTGATCTGGACTCTACGAACATACACCAACCCAGAATCTAAGGATATTACTGGTGATTTTGGAGTTTTCTTCAATCTGCGGTACTTCATATACTGCTCCTCAAGCCACATTGAAGGTTCATAACAGCTATCTCTTAAATTGTATAATTTATCTAGAGCATACTCTATGCATGCAAGGTCTCTTTTGCGTGCATCAACCAACTCAAAAAAATTATCACCAAGTTTTGGCCCAGGAAGCCACCCTTGCTGAACCAGGGAGTTTACCTTAAACAAGATATCATATGGAACACCAATACATTCAGGAGGGCAAACCATGGCTCCCAGATCCGAGCAAGAAAAAGGGGGACATAACTCCGTGACAAGGTCCCTTACAATCCCTTTGTACCCGGGAAAGTTTTCTCCAAAATCTGGAAGTTGGAGACCATAAGGAAGCTCCAAGCATAATACAGAAGACTGCCCAATAGCGCACGATGGAGTGAAATCAGTTGTTCGGATCCATTGGTCATCAGGGGTTTCCCTGCAATAGTTCTGAAAAGGGTCTTCATATGCTTGTCCTGAAGAGTCTGCTTCTTTCTCGAAAATCCGAGGCGCTCCCAATAACTAATAATAGGAGGTAAATTCATTAAGAATCTTTGCTTCAAAGACGAGAAGATATAACATTTTTTCCAATTACAGTACTCTGCATGAGATGTTTCAAATACACGGCAAAAAAGATAAAGGACCAAACATGCTTTGACAACAAACCTCAGTTTCTTTAGACCTTAACATACAAAGATTGCATACATTGATTAGCAAATTCAACATGTAGATGATACAAAGTTATCCAATCTTAAACATAAAAGGATTAGATGAATGACAAGAAATATTGGAACAAGAAAATCATTTTGATACCAAAATTAACTGAAAGAAAACAGGTACCTGAAACAGAAGTTTCTTAGCAGTGTGACCACGTGGACTATACAACTCAGTCTGCCAAATGTTCTCATAGGAAAGTTCAAGCTTATATTCCACCTCATCATATTTCAGAAGACAAATTAATTTCTGTATTCTAATCCCAAAGTCCACTGAAACATTGTCCGAACACCAAAAATAAGATAGCTCTTCTTTTCCGGTCTTGCAACCAAAATACAATTCTAGATTTTGCAGACTGTGCAAAGCGGTTCTTGGCTTTGGTACAATATCATGATCCATCTTCCGGGACTTCAGATAGCTTCTCTCATACCACAGGTTTCCAGTGTCGGCCAAGGAATTAATAAACTCAGCATCATTGGCGGTTTCAAACTGAATAATAGCATAATATCTCCTTGAATTGTTGCTGGTCTGTATCTCATAGCATAAACAGATCCTTTTCCAGTTTTTCTCTCCAGCCATTCAAAAACAGCTTCTGCAGATGCACCAGAAGGGAATCCAAACAACTGTATCGTCTTACCCATCTTATCATGTGAATTTCTTCACTGCATTTATGCTGCCAAATTATTGCAGGCTTAGAAATAAACAAGAGTGGAATGCACTAGTAGAGTCATGGAACTTCAGAAACCAATAACCATAAAGTCTTTATGAATCCAAGAACAGCTCAAGAAAAAAAAAAGAAATATCAAAAGGTATAACGCAACTGAAATTATTGAGCTAAGGTAATTACGGGCAACAAACAAACTAGATAAAAAGTAAACACATGATTTTTGCTTCAAGTGATAATAAGCCGCCCTTGGGAGCAAGGGATGGCGGGGTAACGGGTTAGGATTATGATACGTCCAGGGTTCAATTCCTAGCCAAAAACAAGAACAAAATGATAATTTTACCCAACAAAGGTAGAAATTAAAACAACCCCAAAAGAAAAAAAAACAGACCCTTTTGTTATGCACTTCACTTGCAGTTCAGACTTGAGAGATCAAGAGACATGCTTGATAACCATACACACAAAAAGTAGAGATTTTTCATTGAACTAAAGTAAACACAAATTACCCAACACAAGCAAAGAAGTTACCGATCCTAAATTTATTAAAAAAAATCGAAATATTGTTCCAGTGATGCAGGAAGAGTGAAGGACACAGATAAAGAAACCTTAGCTGCACAAAAGCTTCATCAAACAAGAATTACAGCAACAAAAAACCCAACAAATCCAATAATTTGATGCCTCATGACAGAGAAGACAATAATAAAAAAGCAAAAATTGCTGAGAAAATTAACTCACATTGTTTCATTGATGCAGGAAACGAACAGAACAAAGAGTGAAACAGAAGAGAGAAGAAAAGCTAGAGAGACCGAACAGGAGAGAAAATTACCTTAAAGAAAACAGCAACTAGCAAGGATACACACACAGATGCTGTTCGTTGTCAATCCCTAGTCACTCTCGCCCTCCCCGACCACTGCCGGTATCAGCGAAACTAAATGTTTTTTTTTTTTTCTTTAAGTGGACAAATCAGTATATTTATTATTTTTCTGGCTAATATCCTTGAAACAAAAATCTAATGATCCAGGCAACTGATGTGGTCATGCCTAGCATTGTAGGACTCAATGTAGGTCTTTCTGCTACTTTGGTTTTCAAAAAAAGGAACCCTTCTATTTTCATTCATTTTCCTTCCCTCTTCTCATACATTATTTTTTATCTTATTATCTTTATAACAAAATCAATATAAGATATTGACGTGACTTAATCATAACTGTTCAAATAGAATGGAAGGGAAAGGGAGAGAGATTATAAGGGGAGAGAATCCTCCTCGTTTCAAAAGTGGTCTTAGATTGTCATTTAGTACTACAGTTTAGTAGTATTTTTTTTTACTTGTAAGTAAGAGGTTTTAGATTCAATACTTGTCAAATGCGAGTTTAAATCATAGTATTACTAGTCTATTATAATATTAAACCTACTTTCTCTTTCTTAATATACATAATATTATTTGATAAAAAAAATAACTTTAAATTTATAATACTACAGTTTAATAATATTTTCTCATAATAAAAACTGAGTACATAAATTAAATAAAAAGCAAGCCTTATGTTAAAATCCGGACAAAAACAATAAGACGGGGGCCCAAAAATATTATCGGTTCAAAATTTCAAGGAATTTAATTGAACAATCACTTTCAAGAAAATTTGCAAATTTTTTTTACGGAAAGAAGGGTAATTGGGGACCCGAAAAAGTGAGGGATTGACTTTAAGTCCTCACAGAACTGATAACATGCTTGGGAAGGAATTGGAACGACAGGCCGGCATTTTTGTTAAATATTGGTATAAAAAAAAATTCATTTAAAGTGTTATAGAAATGGATGTCCACTCAAATAATGGGCAAGTTGCCCTTCCACTATTTAGCCTGTGATTTACTTCTATAAAAACAACACTATGGAACACAACAAAAGAAGAGAGTTTCATAATTGGTGGTGGAGTTCACGGGAGAGAAGAAGGAAAAGGAAGAAGAGGAAGAGAGAGAGAGGAAAGAAGAGGGAAGAGACGAAGATGAGGAAGATGAGGGGGAGATAATAAAGAGAGTTATCTTTGTACTCTTATTATTTCAAATTATAATGAAAGCACCACTGCTGCCCCGAGGACGTACTCCAGTCACACTGACTGTAGAGGAACCTCGTAAATTTTGTGTCTTGTTTCATTTATTCCACTGCACCCACAGTTGATTTTACAACACGTTATCAGCACGAAAAGCTCTCATGTCAGTGGAAAGCACAACACCATAAATCCGGAGAAGCATTATCTACTTCTCACCTCGGTCAGCTAAAATCTCACAGAGTAGAGACGGCAAGCCAGACATGTCAAACAGGGAAGATCATCTTGTCACAAAAATCCATCAACCTTTCTTTTATCACCTTTTCCTTTATCACTCTAACTATTGATGTGCTAATCCTTATCCCTGCTAGACCTGCAATCTATTTTTCTCTCGTGGACAAGAAAGATGGAGAGATCTTACAGACAAACAAAGGTGCAGCAAAACAAGCAAAGGTATGTCCATTTTTCATTTCTCCCACCGCGCCAGAAGCACCCCACCGAATTCCGGTGCGAATTGAAATTTCCAACGACCTGAAGTCGTCACGAGATAAGAAAACTCGTACCTGACAACTGGTTTCCAGAGATCCAGAAGAATCTCATTAGACTTGGAAACCCAGATCGTGTCGTTCTCAATGGATCTCGAGGACCTCCATGAATCCTCAATTGTCTGAGATGGTGATGGCATGACTGACTCCACACAGGCCTCCCTCTCTTGTGCCTCCGTCAACCTCACTGTCATCTGTCTCTGTGGAGAGATTCTTGCTTTGCGATGCCATGTTCTTTGGGCCATGCGAGAACAACGCCAGTATCTGGTAGCCTTTTTGGATTGAATTGGTTTTGTGTGACCTCCACAACAACCCAGCTGATACTGGGTTTCGAGACTGGTAGAGACAGACAAAGAAAAGGGGGAAGATTATGGAATATGCATGGCACAATCTGAAAAAGGCAATAATGTATGATACCATTTGAAAAAGCAAGAAATAAATAAATAAAATTAAAAAGGAAATGGGGCCAATGATTTGGAAAGGTGCGTTGCACCATGTAAAAATGAAAGAAAAAGGCAATGTTTTTTGGAATGGTGTAGAATGTGGTTGAATAAGAAAATAATAAAAATAAAATAAAGGTAAAGGTTTTTGGATGGTGTTACACCATCTGAAAAGAAAGAAGAAAATATGTATATATTTATTTATATGAATGGTGTTGGCTTAAAACACTTTCACAAGTTCTATTTATTTAAAGTAATTTATTTACAGTGGGTAGAATTATTACCCTTTGCTTTAAAGCTTTGATATTTATGTGAATGGTGCTGAATTAAAGCCCTTGTCACAAGCTTTATTTACTTTACAGCAATTTATTTATCATGGACGGTTTTACCGCCTACTGCTTTAAGTTTTGATTTATGTGAATGGTGCTGAATTAAAGCCCTTGTCACAAGCTTTAATTTATTTATTGTTCAATTTATTTACTATGGCTGGAATTACCGCCTATTGCTTTAATTTATTTATTGTACTTATCTTTTGTTACGATGAGTATAACAAGGACCCAGAGTTCCTTGATTAGATCAGAACCTGCAGTTTCTTGATCCTCATCACATAAAATGATAGGACCCGAAGTTCCATCATGCAAAAAGATCAAACATGAAGTCCCTAGATCCTCAAGATCGGACATGAAGTTTCTTGATAAGTACCTTAAGTTTGAAGTGCCACAGTGCCTCAACTTAATTATAATAAAGGTCATAAAAGTCTCAGTCCATAGACTATTTAATAAGGACCAGAAGTTCCTTATGTCCATACTTAAAATGGTTTAGCAGAAGCATTTATTAAGCGGATAAAATTGATTACCCACGCTCTGCTCATGAAAACGAAATTACCAGTTTTCTACATGGGGACATGTCATTTTACATGACGCATTATTAAGTTCGGATGAGACCAGTTTCCAACCATCAATATTGCTCAGTACAACTTGTGTTTGGGAACTAGCCAAACATTATACATTTACGAGTTTGGTTGTGTTATCTATGTGCCTATTGCACTGCCACAACGTACTGAAATGGGCATTGATGTTGAACATCATCTATCATTCAATATTTAGAACCCTTGACTGGGGATATATTTACCGCTTGGTTTGCGGACTGTCATTTTGATAAGACAATTTTCCTGCCATTAGGGGGAGAAAATAATATCGTTCCAGAAGAACGATGAGAAAATATCATTCCAAAAGAATGATGAGAAAAGACCGTTCCAGAAGAACGAAGAGAATTTGTCTTATTTTGATTCACGAAGCAATCAATGAGAAAATGAAATATGAATAATTGAATGATGCAACGAAAGTGGTGAAATCATATATACTTACTGCAAATGTGCCTACAAGAATTGATGTCTCTGTTGGATAAAATAATGAGACAGTAAATTATTTATCTGTTACACGCCTGAAGCGTGGCAGATTTTTAGACTCAAAATGTTCAGTTATTCGAAAGAAGAATAATATGGCACTACTGAACTATTGCATTCCCGAAGCATAACTGTTGCATGCCAGAAGCATGACAGTCGCCGCATGGATACACGTCCCAGATAGGACAATCCACAGACATGGGAATGTTGATGTCTCATACATGGAGCATAATAGACATATGGGTTCCAATGACTCAACTCCCGGAAGTGGAGATTAAAATCCAAGCTCTATAACGCTCAAGAGGAGGTTATGATCCACATTCTCTAAATTATGACTATCCTGGAAGAGATAGCGTCATGCCCTTGAAGAGGCAATGGATATCCAAAGAAATGAAAAGCTTTTATGCATGCGCATGCACATGAGAATATGGGATCACGGATTGATGATAACCAATGGTAATTTTGGTTTTTACAAGTAGCTACTAAATTCATCAATGAGCTGTGTTAATATTGAGTCACGTTCTTTTGTTCGTCGACAAAAGAAAAAAAATTATTGGCCAAAATGGAGAAAGGCAATTCCATTACAATTTTGTAAGAACGTGGGCAAATGAACCTATATATATTTGAATACAATACAAATAGCCAAAAGATGTTGAACCAAGGAGGTTACATATGGGCATTTGTAATACAGTGTAATACACTCACATGATATGACACAAGGTTACTAATTGAAACCTGAAATTATACTCTTGTAAACAAGTTCATATAAATGGAGAATTATATACGAAGGGTTGTGAGTCGCCCTCATTATATCTCCATAAGTAAATCCCTCAAGTATACATGGGAGCAAATTGCTCTGTATAAATTCCAAAGGAAAATGTGTCATGAAGTGTAGAAAACCCTTGAAGGATTCAAATTGCTTGAAGTAAGCCTCTGAAGGGTAAAAAATAAAATATGTACTCAATACCAATGGATGATATAAATTGCCTTAGTGAGTACTATCATTATAATATTGTTGCAACATACTAAAATCTCTTGCAAGAGTCAATGACATTAAATTATAACTCTTGAAGAGTTGATGATATTAAATTGGGACTCCTGAAGAGTCTAGAAAAATTATAAAGTGTTGAAGGAATTATTGTCTCGAGTTGCAGATCGAACAATCTACCAACACGAATCTTATCCATGATATTTATGATATTAAAAGAACCATATGGATTGAAGATTATGAGTTGAATACTCATATGATGAAGACACTAAGAATAATCATTTATCTTCGTGAGGGTAAAGATAAATTAATATTTGGTCCAGAAGTACCACATCTTAGTGAAGTATATGCTTTATTGTATTTGGCACAATACATTGAATGAAATAAAGCTTATTTATTAATATCTCCAAGAAATTACAGATATATACATACACATGAGTTAAAACAAACAAACAGGATGGAGCCTTCACAAAGGTTGCTCATGTGAAGCCTCAGTACTCGGAAGTACCCCAGAAGGGGAAGGCATTGGAGATTGATCATGTAGCACCCCAGTACTTAGCAAAACACCAGAAGGGGAAGGCATCAGTTGCTTTCGGAATCTAGCAACGAACCTCTGGTGATCACTTTGAATCCGACTTTCGGATTCCTGCAGTTGGACGAGCTTTCTTTTCATGCTCGTAGAGTAATTATTTGCAAGCACGTGTAACACCCTATTCTCGTGCTTGAGCCCTCTGATCTCTTGTTTAAGACTTGCCACCTCCGCCATCAATGATTCAACTTGGCGAGTTTGAGCAAGTAGGCGTTGGCCCATATTGGACACAGAGCCAGCACACTGAACACTGAGAGCCAAGGAGTCTTGAACGGCCGACTCTTCAGACCGTTCTAAAAGGATCTTGTTATCCCTTGGAGTGAGAAGATTCCTAGCTACCACAGTAGCGGTTATGTTATTCTTCATCACAGAGTCCCCAACCGTAAGAGGACCATTAGAAGATAAGAAGGACGGGCGCCATATATTATCCTGACGCTGCTCGTCTGTATCACTCCTAAGACTCAAATCTAAGCAAATGTTAGAAGGGCAAGTCATTTTTTCAGAAATGATGAAGGAAAAACAGAGGTCAAATAAAATTTTAAAGGTGCAAGATAGGGGAAATTTCTACAGGCAGCAACTTTCTGAGCATACTCTTGAACACAATTGATGTCTTTATAAAGAAGAGGCAACAGAGCCACTCATTCAGAGATCGAAGATGCACCACTCTCCGAATTTCAAAAGCCAGATTTTCCTGAATAAAATTCGTTGGCATTTTTCAGACGTAATCTTAGTTTTCTCAGATATCGCGTGCAACTTTGTCAAAGATCTCTGACAAAGTTGAAAACGCGTAAATCTTACTGTTCTATTTACACCACAGTTGCTGACAAGAGTAAAAGCACAGCACCACCACTTGCTATTGAGAAATCTCTATATATGTCGACCTCTGTTCTCCATAACAAGGCAGACCTGCAACACTGCAAGAATACCTAACTCTTCCTTATCTCCGAGAATGCATCTTCAACATAGCATCTCGAAATACTCAGTTTTCTTCCTCTCCGAGAATACCTCTTCAAACATGTCACACCAGAGCAAGATTATCACATATCTTCAGGGACCAGAGCAAGATTATCTCATATCATGCAATCTCCCTGTCCTTTCCTTTGTCCTTGTTCTTGCCTGCAAAGACAAAGATAAAGAAAGCAATATGTCGGAACCTCCACTCAAACTCCCGGTAAGGAACTGCCTGGAACCTTTCCTGATTGCTTACCTAGCTCTCGAGTAGTCATCTTCAACTGTTGTTCGAGTTGGGTCTCCAGTCACCAAGAAGTGATGAACCATCCAAATGCAAGGGTTGCACTCCACTCCGGCATCAGAGGGCAAATACTGCCGGAGAAGATGCCACACATGCATGGGGGGAAAGCAGGGAAAATACTACTTAAGCAAGGGGAGCAAGTAAGGAAAGTGAAAATGATACATTGAAGCATGTGGAGACAAGCGCAACAAACGCGTGCTGATTCATCCCTGACAAAACTGAAGATCACTTGCCACATGAAGCTCCTCATGGTCCAATTTCATTCAAGATCAAGCCTCGAAGGTCCTTGAAGAAATCACAAGTTCGATTCAAGATCAAGTGTTCACTACTCTTGAATCAAATTCCGCTCCAGATAAAAGGAGTAAATTCAGACATTTGGATCAAGTCTAGCAGAAGGCCCTCCAACCCAGTTCAAGAACAAGCCTGTGGAAAGTTAACAACAAGTAAAGCAACTATTTCAACAACTCTTCTTACTAAGAGACTAAAGCAGAATGATCAACGATCAACCTAAATGATTTGAAATCAGGGGGAGATACTCATCAGGGGAGCATCTAAAACAGATCAAGATTTTAACGAGTCAATCGAAGACTTGTGGCCATCCAAGGGGGAGTGTTATAGAAATGGATGTCCACTCAAATAATGGGCAAGTTGCCCTTCCACTATTTAGCCTGTGATTTACTTCTATAAAAACAACACTATGGAACACAACAAAAGAAGAGAGTTTCATAATTGGTGGTGGAGTTCACGGGAGAGAAGAAGGAAAAGGAAGAAGAGGAAGAGAGAGAGAGGAAAGAAGAGGAAGAGACGAAGATGAGGAAGATGAGGGGGAGATAATAAAGAGAGTTATCTTTGTACTCTTATTATTTCAAATTATAATGAAAGCACCACTGCTGCCCCGAGGACGTACTCCAGTCACACTGACTGTAGAGGAACCTCGTAAATTTTGTGTCTTGTTTCATTTATTCCACTGCACCCACAGTTGATTTTACAACAT